AGGGTATTTACAGCCTTGCAACTTTTAATTGTAACAATGTTATAGAATGAGCAGATACCAGAAAAGGCCAGTTAGGATCATCACCCAGATATTTGGCAAATCTACCCTTTGAGTAGTTAATTATTCAAACCATCTGGAGTGACTTTTAAATACTACATTCCAGAACAGTGGTTCTCAACTCCTTTTCTTATGTTCCACAAGTCTTCTGTTTCTCTTCTTGCTCCCCCCATCCCTTCCTGGCTCCTCTGAACCCTCTTCACCCAGTTACTGTCTGTGGGTTTTTCACCTTGGTGGAGGAATGGCAAAGCGTGAGAAACTCAAAATCTCTTAAGAGCCACTTCTTTGCTGTGATTCTAAAATTCTCAGATCTGTGGGTGTAAACAAACAGTTGTAGATTCATCTAAAATGTATGAAGAGCAATACCAGAGGAGAACATTCCCTCTATAACTAAAAAAATTTCTCCAGGCTGGGGAAGATGTAGAGAAAGAGCAGATATGATGAAGGCAAAGAAGTGGGTGGACTTCACAGAGAAGCTGATATCCTGTTTTCTGGGAAGAGTCCCAGAGAGGTGGCAAGATCCTGAGAGATTTACGGGAATAGAACCTACACTCAAAAGACAGCCAGAGAGAAGGACTGGCTGTGGGCAGATCAAGATGAGAGAGAGACACAGACAATCAACAAGATGACCATGTCCAGGATGATCTGGCAGCAGAAAGATGGTCCCCATGATTCATCACAGGACCCAGAATCTGTGAGGAGATTCTCCAGCCTTTACCTAACAGAAAGTGGCAGTTCAGCAGGAACCTGATGGACTACTAACTGAGAACCAGGCTGAACCACAATCTCAGTAAAAACCTGTGGTGATGAATGCTGTGCTCCTGCAACCCCATGTCTTGTTCTGTATAGGATCCTCACAACTGAGCCACAGCACTGCAGAAAGGGGGAGACCTTAAATTGAGCTTAAATTTTCCTTTCTATGCTGTAATCGTGAGCTCAACATAGTAATTAGAGATATAGAAGTATAAACAATTTGTATATTCTGTATGTCTAAGTGGGACTGAAACCCACTTTTGCTATTTATCTACCTTTCTATCCACCCATCCATCCATCCTTTTCCACCCTCCATCTCTTTCCAGAAAGAACCTAAGGCAGCTTATAACTATATATGACCATTTAAAGAATCTTGGTGCTACCATAGTAGATACATGAGTTAGACCAGACATTGCAACTCAGAAACCAAGAGGGACCATGTAGCCAGCACAAATAAATAAAGCATGTCAAAGTAAGCCAAATCCTTTGCCTAAACTGTGTCTATTTTTACTGACCTACAGCGTGTGTTCCATGATGTTGAACATCCAAATTTAAGATTACGGATGTGTATGTGTATATGGGCAAATGTATATACGTATACATATGCCCATATACACACATATATGTTTATGCATGTATGAAATTTTTAATTATTGCATTTTAAAATTTGTAACTGAGTTCTTTGATTAGGAACCAGAAACCTGACAATGTCAGATCTTGCACTTTGTGTTATGCATTACAGGCATTGTGCTTTGCAGATATTATGTTTTTTACAAATTGAAGTTTCAAGACTTCAGTGGAGTACAAAAAACAAAAACAAAAAACTTCAATTGGAAGAAGTTGACTGCAGATGTGGTGGGAATAGCAAGAGGACTAGAATGACAAGTGGAGCCTGATGATGGGATTGAATTGCTGGAATCTCATGATCAAACTTTAACAGATGAGGAGTTTCTTCTTATGGATGAGAAAAGAAATTAATTTTTTGAGATGGAATCTACTCCTGGTGTAGATGCTGTGAAGACTGTTGAAATGACAATAAAGGATTTAGAATCTTACATAAATTTCATTGATAAGGCAGTGGTGGCATTGGAGAGGATTGACTCCAATCTTGAAAGAAGTTCTTATGTGAGTAAAATGCTATTGAGCAGCATCACAAGCTACAGAGAAACTGTCATGAAAGGAAGAGTCAATCATTGTGGCAAACTTCATCATTGTCTTATTTTAAGAAACTGCCACAGACACCTCAACCTTCAGCAACCACCACCCTGACCAGTCAAGCAGCCATCAACATGGAAGCCAGATCTTCCATCAGCAAAAAGATTATGACTCTCTGAAAACTCAGGGGATGGTTGTGTTTTTTAAAATAAAATATTTTTAAATTAAGGTATTTTTAGGCATAATGCTGTTATACACTTAATAGACTACTATAGTGTAAACATAACTTTTATGTGCACTGGGAAACCAAAAAATTCATTTGACTCTCTTTATTATATTTGCTTTATTGCGGCAGGCTGGAATGGAACACAAATTATTAGCAAGGTATGCCTGTATATAGAATTCAGCCTCATGTATTTTAACTGGTAATGATGTTTAATTTTATTCATTATAATAATAACTTGAGTACAAACATAGGTTCTTCCAAACAGAGAATTTTCACACTGGTTTTTATATTCAGGGCACTGTTCCTCAGTTCTGCACGCATACCAATAATATTAATTGTGAATAACAACTTGGACAATCAGTTCATTTTCAAAAAGTCTGATATTAGAAAACCATTTTTGAAAAATAGTTTCTAATCCCCAATTTTGAAACAGTAGGTTTGGCAACTGCTTTTAGTTACAGGAGGCAGAAACCAATTTCAGTATATGAAAGTGGACCATACTATTCCTTGACAAATGAGTTTCCCAGAGACATGATTTTGTTAAGAAAGAGCAAATGAAGTCATGTATTTGCATACCATCAATAAATGCCCCTGTAGGTAAATATTTAAAATATTTACACGGTTTGTAATAACAATCAAAAGGGCCAAGTTTTTATCTAACCTCCCTCATTATGTCTAGAATTTCCCTTTGATTAACATGAACAAATCAGTTTTTTTCTCCAACAAATCAAAAAAAGTCTTCAGCACCATGTAGTGAATAACCAAGCCACGCAATTTGTATGGTCTACAGCAGATTAGGTGCTGACCTTTTTGTTGATCTAAGCAACATATTGCACTGTCTGTGGTTCCAGTACAGCAGCATGTCCACGTTATGGAGGTAATAATCACATCCACAGTGGGTAAGATTTAAAATTTTCTAACCCCAAATGATTTCTCTGAGCAATGCAGTAGGCAAATTTTAGAGTTCCTGGTCCTTGCAAAACAATATCACTCTGGATTTGTTTCACTATAATCTAAAGTTACCACCAAGAACCAACTGTACTCACAAAAGTACCATCTCAAATCACACTCAGTCTTTTTGAGTAGTCTGCATTAAGTCTTTCAGGACTAATTCTGAACACATTAAAAAAAAATCATTCCCAGGGATGGTGTCTCTCCCGGGCCTCCTCTGTCTCTTCCAAATGTTATTTAGTAATGGTAAAACATTCATCAACACCGCAAAAATAAGATGGTATTAACTAAATTGGCATTTCTATTAGTTGCAAGAAGAAATACTCCAAATGATTTTAATTTTTTGTAAAACTTGTCCTGTAGTTTTTCTGCTATGTCTTCAAAATGATAAGCAACATCATGTGTGGTTAGACTTCCATTTCCAAATGGCTATTCCTGATCAGGAAACACCATTTCTGCTTGGACAACTGGCACACATTTATAAAAATTGTCATCAGTAAGCGCTTCTGATTCCAGGAAAAATTTTCTTAATACGCTGCATTTCACAACAGCATATCATGTATCATAAATAAAGCCTTGATGACAAGTTATGCCATTTCATAGTTGACTAAGTACTTAACCTACATAATTCCCATATTCATATTGCTGCCTCAAATTGTATTCTCTTGCCTCAGACACACATTTTCTTGCATATTAATTATATAAACATCTTTGATTAAAAAAAAGACAGGGTTAAGATTTATTTTGTTTGGTCTCTAATTCAAATTAACCCTGAACAAAGCTTATATTACAAAAAAAGTTCCCTATATGTAGGGAAGCTGAATTTGGGAAAGGCAAACATTCTCATCTCAGTGACATCCTAGGTTTTGAGCAATTCTGTAAGAAGGTTAGAACTTCAATTTTTATTTATTATTTACACACATTTTTATTTCTTTCAAAGTGTATGTACAACAAATGAATCATGCCAGTGTCTCTCTTAGTGAGGATATGCTCTGTAGCTGCTACAAGAACACCTAGCTTTATAGCTGAAGTGGTGTTTTAAGCATGACAGGCAATGAATTAAAACATTAAAACAGGCCTAGTATTATGAGACATTTCAGGGTTTTTTTCTTTTCTTTTTTTTTAAATTCAAGTATAATTAATATACAGTATTATATTAGTTTTAGATGTACAACATAGTGATTCAACAAGTTTATACATTACTCAGTGCTCTTAAGCCCCTTCAACTATTTCACCCATCCCCCCACCCACCTCTCCTCTGGCAACCACCAGTTTGTTCTCTATATTTAAGAGTCTGTTTTTTTGTCTCTTTTTTTTCTTTGTTCATTTGTTTTGTTTCTTAAATCCTGCACATAGTGAAATAATATGGCATTTGTCTTTCTCTGACTTATTTCACTTAGCATTATACCCTCCAGATCCATCCATGCTGTTGCAAATGACAAGATTTATTTTTTATGGCTGAGTAATATTCCATTGTAGTCATTATACTACCTCTTCTTTATCCATTCATCTATGGATGGACATTTGAGTTGCTTCCATATCTTAGCCATTGTAAATAATGGTACTATAAACATAGGAGGGCAGTGGCACCTGGGTGGCTCAGTCAGTTAAGCATCTACCTTCAGTTTAGGTCATGATCCCAGGGTCCTTGGATCAAGCCCCACGTCAGGCTCCCTGCTCAGGGGAGAGTCTGCTTCTCCCTCTCCCTCTGCTGCTCTCCCTGCTTATGCTCTCCCTATCTCTCTCTCTCTGTCAAATAAATAAGTAAAATCTTTTTTTAAAAAGTAAAAAATAACCATAGGAGGGCATATTATCTTTTCAAATTAGTGTTTTTGTTTTCTTTAGGTAAATACTCAATAGTGGAATTATGGTAATTCTATTTTTAATTTTTTGAGGAACCTCTACACTGTTTTCTGCAATGGCTATGCCAGCTTGCATTCCTGTCACAGATAGTTCAGGATTTTAACATACACCAGGCATGGCAATTCTAATGTCAACTTGCCAGTCTTTTTTTTTTTTTTTTTTTTTAGAGAGAGAGAGCCCACATGAAAGGCAGGGGGTAGGGCAGAGAGAGAGGGAGAGAGAATCTTAAGCAGGCTCCACACTCAGCATGGACCCCAATGTGGGGTTTGAACTCACCACCCTGAGATCATGACATGAGCCCAAATCAAGAGTTGGATGAATAACTGGCTGAGACACCCGGGGGCCCCTTGCCAGTCTTTTAATAGTGACTAACCCCACAAAATTTTTTCACGCATTGTGGGCAATGTTTTGTGGGCAAATAACTCTGCCTCTGGAACTTGAGCCAACATTTTGCAACTTTCAGGTGGCTGGAGATCTTTGCTTTGAGAGAGGAGTGCTTTTATTTACTTATTTTTAATTGAGATGTAATTGACATATAACATTGCATTAGTTTTAGGTGTACAACATAATGATTTAATATATGTATATATTGCAAAATGATTACCATATGTTTAATTAGCATCCATCACCACAGTTACAATTTTTTTCTGTGATGAGATCTTTTAAGATTTACTCTCTTAGCAACTTCCAAATACAAAATAAAGTATTATTAACCATGATACACATTACATTCCCAGGACTTACTTATAAGTGAAGTTTGTACTTTTTTTCTAGCTATATATATGTATTTTATTATTATTAACATATAAGTTTGTACTTTTTGACCACCTTTACCCATTTTGCCCCCTTCTCATCACTCACCTCTGGCAACTACCAATCTGCTTTCTGTATCTATGAGTTTTGGGTATTTTTTGGGGGGTGAGGTGAGGTTTAGATTCCACATATAAATAAGATCATATGATATTTGTCTTTCACTGACTTAATTCACTTAGCATAATGCCCCCAAGCTCCACCCATACTGTTGCCAGAGTTCCTTCATTTTTATGGTTAATTAATGTTCCATTGTTTGTTTGTATATTATATATATTCAGTTCCTCTGTCCATTTTTAATCAGATTGTCTGTTTTTATGCTATTAAGTTGCATGAGTTCTTTGTGATAGATATACATTATATATCATATATATCACATTTTCTTTATCCATTAATCTGTCCATGGACACTTAAGTTGTATCCATATCTTGGCTATTATAAATAATACTGCAATGAACATGGGGTACAAAAATCATTTTGAGATAGTGATTTTGTATCTTTTGGATAAATATCCAAAAGTGGAATTGTTGAATCATACAGTAGTTCCATTTTAAAATTCTTGAGCAACCTCCGTACAGTTTTCTTTTTTTCCCATTTGATTTTTTTTTAACATATAGTATTATTAGTTTCAGAGGTAGAGTTCAGTGATTCATCAGTCTCATAAAATACCCAGTGCTCATTACATCCTGTGCCCTCCTCAATGTCCATCACCCAGTTACCCCATTCCCCCACTCCCCTCCCCTCCAGCAACCCTCAGTTTGTTTTCTATGATTAAGAGTCTCCTATGGTCCATACAGTTTATAGTGGCTGCACCAGTTTACTTTCCTACAAAGAGTGCACAAGAGTTCCCTTTTCTTCACATCCTCACCAACACTTGTTATTTCTTGTCTTCTTGATAATAGTCACTCTAACAGGTGTGAGGCAGTATTTCATTGTGGTTTTATTTATTTTTTAAAGGTTTTTTTTTTTAAAGATTTTATTTTTTCTTTGAGAGAGAGAGGAGTGGGGGGGGTGTCAGAAGCAGAGGGAAAAGCAGGCTCCCCCTGAGCAGGGAGCCCAACATGGGGCTCTATCCTAGGACTCTGGGATTATGACCTGAGGCAAAGGCAGACACTTAACAGACTGAGCCATCCAGGTACCCTTCATTGTGGTTTTAATTTGCATTTCTCTGATGATGAGTGATGTTGAGCACATTTTCATGTACCTCTTGTCCATCTGTATGTCTTCTTTGGAGAAATGTCTATTCAATTCCTCTGCCCATTTTCTTTATATATTTTGGATACTAATCCCTTATCAGATATCTGATTTGCAAATACTTTCTCCTATTCCGCAGGCTGCCTTTGCATCTTGTTCATGGTTTCCTTTGCTGTATAGAAGATTCTTAGTTTAATGTTCCCCCACTTGTTTATTTTTGCTTTTGTTGCATTTGTTTTTGATGTCAAATCCAAAAAATCACTGCCGAAACTGTTGCCAAGGGGTCTACTCTCTATATTTTCTTCTAGGAATTTTATGGTTTCAGGTCTTATATTAAAATCTTTAATCCATTCTGAGTTGATTTTGTGTGTGTGTAATGGGAGATAGTGAGGACTGCTTTTCTTTTAGCTTTATTCTCTAGCTATTCAGTTTACTGCCATGGTCTAGCCCTCCCCAAGAATGTCAGGTTGCCAGAGATCTTACTTCTGAAAATTTTCACTATAGTCTTCTTGTCTGCTTACAATAATCACAAGCTCAGCTTGAGCTGAACTGAGTCTGATGGTGTGACATGTCATGTCATGCCAAGCTCTAGGAGCTGGAGCGCTAAGAGTGTTCCATTTTACTAAGGTTACCCTGGTTACATGAGGAACCATGTGATGGACCCTGGCCAACTGGAAGTGCTTAGTGATGCAAAGACATCTTTATGTCATCTTCATGGGCACAATCATGCAGGAGGTCAGGAGGCACTGCCACTTAGCAGGCCCTAGCTGAGCATGAGGCTGAGGCCATGTTACTGCTACTCTTGTACCTTCCTGAAAATGTGCTCACCTTTTTCCTTTTTTTGATTTTTCAGTGGCTTCCAATCACTCTCATGCTATAAGCCTAGATTCCCAGTATGACATATAAGACCCACTGCTCATCTGAACAGTCTGTTGATTTGCCTCTGATATGTCATCTCTTCCCTTCTCATCCTTAAACTCAGGTACCACTCAAATGAGTATCTATCTGAACTATCACTGTTCTATTAACTCCATGACTGTATATTCTGTTTCTTCTGCTTTCAGATCCTTTCTTTCCTTCCACCATGCCCACTAACAGGCTAACTAAAGCTTATCATTCAAAACTCTGTTCTGGTATTACTTCCACTTGATAAATTTATCCTGATTAATTGGAAGTCACTTGGGCACCTGGGTGGCGCAGTCGATTAAGCGTCTGCCTTCAGCTTGGGTCATGATCCCAGGTCCTGGGATCAGGCCCTGCATCGGGCTCTCTGCTCAATGCGGAGCCTGTTTCTCCCTCTGCCTCTGCCTGCCACTCCCCCTGCTTGTGCTCACTCTCTCTCTCTGTCAAATAAATAAATAAAATCTTTGAAAAAAATTAGAAGCCCCTCTCTGCCTACTATTTCCTGGACTTTCTGAACCAACTTTTATGAAAACAACATGCTGCTCATATGAGTGAGAAATGAATGATCATAAGTGGAAAATGCAGATTTATAGGTTTAAAGTTGAACACTATCTAGGGAAACCAGTCTTGGCAGGGATAGGGAGTGATTAAGGAAAATATGTTTTATATACAACTAATTCTTTGTTTATGGATTGGACTTTGAAAAACAAACTGAGGGTTCTAGAGGGGAAGGGGGTGGGAGGATGGGCTAGCCTGCTGATGGGTATTAAAGAGGGCACGTTCTGCATGGAGCACTGGGTGTTATACAACCAATGAATCATGGAACACTACAAAAAAAAAAAGACAAACTGCTGGTTACCAGAGGGGTGGGGTGCAGGGATGGGGAAAATAGGGGGTGGGAAATAAAGTGTACACTTATCATGGTGAAAAAAATGAAAAAAATATTTACAAGACAAAAAATAAAGTGGTTAGTTTTTAAAAAAAAAAAGAGAGAGAGATACAGATCATGAGTTAGGGCGAGGGGTAGAAGGAGAAGCAGAGTCCCTGCTAAGCAGGGAGACCTATGCGGGACTTGATCCCAGGACCCTGGGATGAAGGCAGATGCTTAACCAACTGAGCCACTCAGGCACCCTACAAAAATATTTATTCAAAGTGTCATTTTAATTCTTTAAATGAAAGCAAGAAAACTGACCTGATTTTTTTTCTTTAACTCGTAAGATGGGGTGAAAAAAGAAAGACATTATTATAGTGGATGTTGTTGCTACCCTGCCCAGATCCTTTTCATTGAGTAGGCACACCCATCACCCATCACCCACAGCATTGAGCATCACACCAAAGGCATACAGCTGCCCCTTCTCCAGAAAACTGCCATCTAAGAGAAGCCACCTGCCCTCAAGAAGTCAGCCACCAATGACTGGCAGACAGGAAATATACAGTACTGGCTCCCTTTCTCAAAGTGGGACTCCCTGTGGAGTCCCAGAACTTCCTGTGGGACACAGGCAGAAGCTAGTTCCAGCTGAGATCATATCCTTACTTTCTTTCCCTATCTTATTCCACTCCCCTCCCTTCCCTTCTCTTGAGAGCATTTCTTCAATAAACTGCCTTCACGAAAATCTATCTCAGGGTCCTCATCTAGGGAACTTGATCTAAGACACTTATCACCTTAGTAGATCCATCTGGTTCCCACTACAAGGACTAAGTGGTTTCAAATACTCTGCTGTTGTTTGAAGAAGGCAGGGCTCTTTGTATAGCTTAATACTCCTACATTAGAGCCCTGTTCAAGGCCACCTTCTGACATGCATCCCCCATTAGGAGTTTGTTCTGCTGTGGACTTGCCAGATGTACCCTCAGATCAAGATACAGCAACCCCAGAAAGCCCAAATATCCATCGACTGATGAATGTATAAAGAAGATGTGGTATGTATCTACAATGGAATATTACTCAGCCATCAAAAAGAATGAAATCTTGCCATTTGCAACAATGTGGATGGAACTAGAGGGTATTAAGCTAAGTGAATTAAGTCAGTCAGAGATAGACAAATACCATATGATTTCACTCATATGTGGTGAAAGAAAACAGATGAACAAAGGAGACAGGAA